CCCTGTCTGATTTCTGTCCTCCCCAAAATGTTTCTTTTTACTGCACTACGTTTTTTTGAGGCTCAGGACTGACTCAAAGAAATAGGAAGTTTCTACACAACCTTTCCAGGAACTGGCCTAGATTTTCATAATATAAAACATTTGCAAAGCATTATGTGGTGTTTTATGATGACTTATTACATGCCAGTTTTTATGGGTTTTATTAAATATGTGATTAGAACAGTGGTTCTTATCTGAAAGTATGCGATTTTGTTATTCACTGAAGAATTGCTCCTCTTTCTTCATCTGCAAAGGTAAAAAGAATGCAAAAAAAAAAAGTTGAGAGGATGCATAGCTCCAGCTAAACGGAAGAAATAGAAATTAAAAAACACGTTTAAATCTTGTGGCACCTTTAACGTTTTCCGTTGCTATTGATCTCTTTTAGGAATGGAATCAGGCTGCTGTGGATGTGACTCACAAGGTGGCAAAGATTTTGCAGTTTATTGTTTTGGCTTGGGATTCAGCCTCCATTGGACCTGATAGAGCAATTCTTCCGAGGATATGTGTGATTCAAGGCAATTTGTTCACCAAGCAAAGAGGAAGAGAATGGCAGGAGCCACAAGGGAAAGCAGGAAAAGAAAATACAACAGGACAGATCAGACACATGAAGCTGTTTGGATAATAAGATTTCCACATATGGGAAGGGGAGTTTCCACAGAAACCTGAGAATGCCGCAGCGCTCCGTTCTGATGGAAATCACTGACACTTTCCATTGCAGAACAAGGGCTGACACATACACTTCTTTGGACATTATTACAGTTATAATGTTTAGTCTATTATACTGAAAGTTAAGAACAAAGATCTTGAGGCAAAGGCCTCTTTGCACTTAGTCCCACCACTTCAGATCAGCTTCCTTCTCGTGGCTGTTCCCCACTATGGCTGAGATGCTGATAATAAATACTTACGTGTGCATTGTGCTATATGCTTAGAGATGACGCCCATACAGTTGTTTGAAAGGAAAAAGACAGAGCATTTGCCTTAGCTTCTGGGATAGGCTTTCCAGAATATGTTTCTTCTGTTTTTGTTTTGTTTTGTTTTGTTTTGTTTTGTTTTTCCTGAGGAGTGTGAGAAAGTGAGTTAATTCATTTCAAAACTGAGGATTGAACAACAACTTCCAAGACTGCACCTTTATCTCAGCCCTTCCTCAAATCACAGTCTGAGTGCCCTTATTTTAGGGCCCTGATTTATACTCTGCCAGCTGTCAAAAGAAAAAAACATACACAGAGAAGTGCTGCTGGGCCTGCTGGGTTGTGTAGTTATTTTGATAATTACCAAAAATAATCAAAAAATAATTCAGAGTTCTTTTCCATAGCACCCACTGAAGTTCCTGGCATAGAGCAGGATTTATGAGCACGAGAGCCTTTTCTGGAACAGCAGTTGCCAGTTTGCCAGTGTCCAAGAGCTTCACCAGGCGGCTCAGCAAAGCTCTTGAGCTAGCTTAGCAACTCCGCAGGCAACGGCATCAAAGCAGAGCATCAGCCTGGCACCAAAGCCCAGCAAGAGGGAGCACCTTGAGGCTCCTGTGCCTCGTGAATCTTTGCAGTAAGCTCTGAAAGTCCCTCATGTCCTTTCACAACTCTGACCAATCCTTTGAGCTTTTTTGTCAGATGCCACCAGCGGCCCAGCAACCACTCCCGTTCAAAAGCAAAGCTTCAAAAGCAGCTGTGGTTGCTGTATAGTTTTGTATTTCTTTCGAGACAAGGTACATTGCAGCATAGTTTGGAGAGACACGGCTCAAGCACTGCGAGTGTTTCGGGTGCGTGATGCCTTCCAGGCGGCTGCTTTGCCTCTTCAGAGTTAGCTCAGGAATTTCTGCACAGCACTGACTTGTGTGGCATACACAGAACCCGTAAGTACAACGAAAAAGCGGGGGGCTTCAAGCATGGAAATAATTTGTATTTCTTTGTTACCAGGAAAGCAACACAGGACAGTGATTTTTATTGACAGGAAGTTAAGAAAAATAAAACATGGTCCTGCCTACTTCCTTCTTAAAATAGCCTGCCATCTCTATTACTTCTCTTTCTCTCTCTCTCTCTTTTCTTCTTTTCTTTTCTTTTCTTTTTTTTTTTTTTTCCTGTTCCAGCCTTCTCCAGGCTGTTCATGTCCTGTCATCTAATCGGTATTTTAAGAGCTCACGAATATATCCCCTTTTTCCCTTTGGCAAAAAATGAGTAATAAACTGTCTGATCATATTGCATTAGCTAGCCCCCTTCCCCCATACGCACACTTTAGCAGTTTGAGGTGTTTTTAAGTGCTAAGTTACTCCCGACGACTGCCCGTTTTTGTAACCGACCCAACGCCTGCCTCCCACCGGCCCGGAACCTTTTAGAGGCGGAACGCGCAGTTGGCGGCTCCGGGGGGCGCGCCGGAAGAGGTTAGCGAGCGCGAGCCATGGTCAAAATGGCGGCGGGCGGGGGGGG